AGATGCCAGAGGGGTGTGGTCACCTGCCCAGGTCACAGAGCTGGTGAGTGACGGGGCTGGGTCCCCTGGCCAGGCCAGGCCGAGTCCAGCTGCTGCATCACGCGGCCCGCGGGGGCGTGGGCTCGTGCACCTGCGCTCCTTATACCGAAGTTTCAAATATGAGCATTTCTCTTGATCGTTACGCTTTTGCCATTCCCAGAGGCGAAGCGCGGTCACGGAGGGCTGCACGGGTTTGGGGCCGTCTGCACCACTCCTCAGCTCTCAGCGCTGACCTCCTTGGAAAGGTGGTTTAGCTTCTCCCCTCAGAGAGCTGTTCCCTCCTGTCATCCTGTCCTAAGCCTTGGTGTTGACACCGTGTGAATAGTCCACGATCCAGCAAGGGGTGTGAACAGAATTAATTGCCACGTGCTTCTGTGATCCTCTGGTGCAGCTCTCACTGCTGAGGGAGCTCAGGAATGGCGAGAAGTGTCTGGGGGAGTGGCCTGGTGGGGCAGGGCCACCTGGCCTTGGCTTCCAGTGAGGCTCAGTGGGCAGCAGGGCGGGGGGAAGGGCGGGCCAGGGCAGAAGCAGGAGTGGGGGCGTCCCCAGACCAGGCAAAGACCCTCCATGGGGTGGGTGCTGCAGGGGAGCCAGTGAGAGTGAGCCCAGTGTCTGGACTGGGCTGGGGGAGGTCAGGAGGGGCACAGCAGAGGCCCCAGGGGCAGAGAGACGGGGTACCTTATCGGTAGAGTCATCCTTCAGGCTCCTGGGCTGGCTTGTCCGTGCCTTGCTCTTTGTCTGGGGCAATAGGTTTCCATTTCCTGTTTATGGGTCCCTGGTGGTAGGAAGTCCCTCCCTAAAGTGACCTCCCAGGCGTCTGTGGGTGGTGGCTCCACCCTCTTCCTGGAGAGGCACTGGAGTGGGAGGTCCCGGGGGTAGTCTAGCCTCCTCAGGCTACTTCCCATTTTCTCTGTGTTCCACTGGCCTGGCAGAGGGCCTTCTGATAGAGACTGTCCCCCACCCCCTTCCCCAGGTGCAGCAGGACACAGAGGGGTTGCAAAGGGAAAGAAAATGTCATTCAAGCTCAGGAGAATAAGATGGCCTTCAGTTTGCATCCAGGAAGCCATCCTGTCATCTTCACACATATCAAACATCCCTCAGATAATAATAAACTAGAGCCTCTGTGAAAGTTCGGTCCTAAGGGGGGAGAACTTGGAACAGTCTCCAGTCAGCAGAGCCTGCAGAGTCTAGGTGGCACACAAATGAGTCCCACAGGAACCTTGCCCAGACTTGCTGCTTAAAATGTATCTAGTTTTAGCTTATAGGGCTTTAGTTCCGGACCAGTTCCCATTTTAATAATGGGAAAGTTGGATTGGAGGAAGCTAGAAGAATTTAGGACCTAGTCTAGCCCATAGGTATTAAGATAAGAAGGACTAAAAAATAATTTAGAGTTACAATCTAATAACAGGCATATCGTAGCTTTTTTTTTTTAAATAATAAGGGTTTTTTTTTTATATTGATCATAAAGGAGTCTCAGATTTAAAAACTTTTTGAGGCTCGGAAGCCAAGCCAAGGCAGACTTTAGTTTACTGACAGTCTCCAGGTTCCTGTCCTGCCAGGAAGTGACAGTGTTTGGTTACTTACTGTAAGGCTGGGAACCCCTGAAGTCACGCATTTTATGTAACTTTCAAATATGACGGTTTAGTCCAAGCCTTGGTATATAAACAATGTTTTCAATTGCATTTTGTTGTAAAAAGGGAGCAAGTTTGTATTGGACTTTTGCAAATAATTGTATCACTGTAAGAATACTCACAATTAGTTTCCAAATTCTTGGAGGACTTAAGAAAAAAATGATGTTATCTAGGTTGACAGGAGCATATTTTAGCAAAGTCCTGTAAATTATAAATAGCTTAAGAGAGAGAATTTCCTTAAATCTAAAAGACAAAATGTTTGAGTAATAAACCAACAATGTTTCAAATAAAAATCATAGTAAACATAATCTTTATCAGTTATTTAATCTCATGGAATCGGTTTTCCTTTTGTTTGATCTCCATTAGTAATTTCATGAGTCCATCCATTTTTGGGGTTTTGGGTTTTTTTTTTCTTTTTTTTATCTCTGTTGCCCAGACAAGAGTGCAGTGGCATCATCTAGCTCACTTCAGCCTCAGACTCCTAGGCTCATCAGCCTCCCGAGTAGCTGGGACTACAGTCCATCAGTTTTTACTTAGAGTTCTGGAAAGTTTTATTCATTCCATTGATGTTCATGTTATTAGAAACCTGTGTTTAAGAGTACTTACTGGAGTCTTTTCCATGAGCGTGAAATTGTAAATGTTTTAGAAAAGAATTTCAAACAATGACTGTGGAAGACAAGGTCTTAGAACAGCCATGGTAAAAATCTGATGAAAGTTTAGAGTCGCCAAGGAAATTTAGTTATTTTTATTACATATAATATTTTAAGATAACAACCAGAGTTATGACTGACAACATATTAG